TCATACAATTCAAATTAAATAATCTTTATACTTTTTTTTTGGTGGGGGAATATTAATATAACACATTAATGGGGATTTAGGGTAGGAATGAACATTATTTGATTAATGTTACGGGAAAGATATGGTACGGAAAGAGTTTTTATCCATCGAAGCACCCCTTAAATTTTGATGAAAGCAACTTGATTTGTTACCTATTTTCTAATAGCAATTGATTGGTCGTAAGCATTTCCAGTATCATACATACTTACATAGTGAGCCCATGTATTCAATTAATTTATGAGTGGTGTGGGGTATTATCAATGAAACCACAGCCCATATGTTGTTCAGGGATTCTATCTTCCTCAAAGGATGGGAATAGAGATAGAGCATGTTTCTACATTCATAGGGATACACACGTGATAAACCATCTCAGCTCAAGAAAAGCTAAACTTGAGACACGTGAGAGAGAGAGAGAGTGGACTAGACATCAACCATATCACCTTTTATCAACAAAGTTTAGTCTTTTTCTTTAACACGGGAGACGTGTGGGTGTGGGGGCTCTTTCATAAATAATAAATTAATAATAATGTTTTACGACCTGTTTTCTAAAGGCAACTGCTTGTCTTTTATTTTTTCTTTGCCATTTGATTGGGTGGATGTTCACCATCCCATCCAGACTTAGTATGCGATAGAGATTTTGTTTATTAACTAAAGTACAAAATATTTGTATTTTATTTGTACTTAAAACAAAATAATAATAATAATAATAATATCAATTATTTATGACAAATAGACATCATTATGTATCATTAGGCGCTATATCAGTAAAATAGTTCATAAATATATAACCATTTCAGAAAAGTGTTAAAATGAACCGATAGACGTATACATAAATTAAGGCCAACTTTTGTGAATATATATACATATGGAGCTCTGATTTGACAATAATTGTAGGCATTTTGATGCATAGAGTGTGGATTGTTAACATTTTGAATGTTTATACCTCAACAGTGGAAATCAGAAATTTGCATTGGGCAAATTCGTACTTCTCTGTTTAATGTTTGATGAGTGTGGACTACAGCCCTACGATCTACGTTCCATCATTTTCCAATTTGTGATCCGCCACGTTGATGGGAATTGGGAACGAAGAAATGAGGTTGGGGGTGACGTGTTACTTCTAAGGGGGCGTTTTTTTTTCGGATTTTGAGAGGGGGGAAAGTTGGTCAGGATTTTGGTTCCCATTGAACAAGAATCCCATGTTCTTTTTTTAGATTTATGTGGGGATTAGGGAAAGTTTATTTTCCTGAGTATCACTTACCCACCCATCTCCTAGGTGGGTAAATAACTTTTCCACCTAGGGGGGAAGTTGCCAACACTTGAATGAGACAAAAATGCCCTTTTTAATAATAGATTTTTATGGATAAAATGGCCATTCCCTTATTTACATGAGAAATAAAAGAACATGGGTAAACACACTTACCCAAGTAAGTGTTTCCCAAGAAAAACTTACTCAGGTAATTGCATTTACCTGGGTAAGTAACTTACCGAAAAGCGAACGGGGCATGAGTTCTGACTTCTAAGGATTTCGAGGTGACTACCTGGAAAGGCCGCACTTGAAGAAAGAGCTCCTACTACTCATCTCCAAGCCCTGTCCATCGGAAGATTTCAAGGCAGACTTTCAGGAGAGTTCAACTTCAAGGATGATCTAAGGAGGAAAAAGATGATACTGTTTCTTCAACTCCACACCTAGTTTCTCTCATGGTTCCACTTCAATTCCATAAAACCAATGGAATTCCCCGTCATTAATGGAACCCCAGCTGAATTTAAAATCGTTTGCCCCTTCTAATGGAAACTCAACCTGCTTTACTTAGGGGGATCAAGAGCCTATGACTCTCCGCAAATTTCATCACTTCTCTCAACTGTTGTAGTCCGAGTTCCTTGAAGTTGCTAATCCAATGAAAAGGTGAAGATTAGATCTAAGGATGTGGCTAACTCCTATAGCGGAGATCTAGTACACTAAAGACCCTATCGGAAGAACTTTTAGGTCCCGTTCGTTTTTCAGTAGGTTACTTATCCAGGTAAATGCAATTTACCTGGGTAAGTTTTCCCTGGGAAACAATAACATGGGTAATTACTCATGTTCTTCTATTTCTCAGGTAAATAATGTAATGACCATTTTAATCATAAAAATCCATTATTAAAAGGGGCACTTCTGCCTCATTCAAGTGTTAGCAACTTTTTTATTAAGGCCTCATTCGCTTTTTGGTAAGTTATTTATCCAGGTAAATGTGGGTAAGTACATTTACCCATGTTCCTTTATTTCCCATGTAAATAAGGCAATGGCCATTTCAACCATAAAATTCCATTATTGAAAGGGACATTTTTGTCCCATTCAGGTGTTGGCAATTTTTCCCCAAATGGGAAAGTTATTTACCCACCTAGGAGAAGGGTATCACTTAAACTTTCCCCCCTCTCAAAATCCAGAAAAATAACACCCCCTAAGTGGGTGGAGATGGGTACCACTTACCTGATACCCAGGAAAATAAACTTTCCTTGGTTCCCACATTAATATGAAAAATGAACACAGGATCCTTGGTCAATGGGATGGGAACCAAAATCCCATTGACCAACTTCCCCCCCTCTCAAAATCCAAAAAAAGAATGCCCCTTTAGAATTTGAGTCCCAAACGGAGTTTCTTCAAATGGTTGGAATGTCATTCAACCAGCTGGGATGGACATGGAGCCTTCCTTAGGTGGCTTTTGGATTAATGAAATTATGGGGATGTTTGGAACATGGCCGTTTTTCAGAAAAACAGTGTCACATCGGATCCACATAAGCATTTCAACAAATGCCTGTGTATCTCATGTTTGGTTCAGCCGATTATTAAACAATCGGGCATGCCTTGAAAACCGGGACCCCACCGATGCATGAAGTACCAAATTTGGTGTTTCATGCATCAGTGAACCATTTCCCCCAACGGTTGACTAATGTGTATCCTATGTGGTGCTTACCTATCAGCACATGCATGAAAAACGGTGATGAAAATCACCTTACCAAGTAGCATAATGTTTCTCATTGCCTATGTGGCAGAAGCGTTTTTTTTTTGTGAAAAACAGGTTTTAGAAGCATGGGCGTTTTTTCTTGAAAATCGGTCTCAAAAAACGCCCATGCTTCCAAACACCATGTATATTTCTGCTTTCGGGACCATTTAGATTTGAACTGTCCGTATTGTTCATTATGTGGTGGTATACTGAAGGACACATTTAAAGGCATTTTTGTCTTTCAAATTTTTCTCTCAACCTAAAACCGCGAAGTATATTTAAGTAATTAACCCTTTTCTTGTTGTGAGTTTCAAAATCTAGTTTCAAATAAAATTGTTTAAAATAAAAATTTTGAAAGCATTTTCTAAAATTTCTAAAATTGAAACAAAAAATATGTTCTTGAAAAATTTGTTTTCGTTTAAAGTCATATAATATATGTCATCATCCTGCATTCTTTCACAGTTTTATTTCATCGTGTTAACATTTCATAATTAAACAATATCTGTGCTCCATCATTTGTGCTTTCCATGGAAAGAGATCACCACTGATATCAGTTTCAGTTTTCACAAAACTGTGCTCATACCCTCTTTACAGCCACTTGCAGCTAGCTGGGTATTGGGAATATCTCTCCATGGCTGCCTTCTTAAAATTAAAAGTAACCCAAGAATTTCAATTGTTCAGAACCCTGATAAGGGTTGAGCTTTTCTGGTTTCTCACCAAATATAACTTAAAGATCCCACCCCGTAAGGTTGTCAATGGTTGAAAGAAAGTTAAGGGTGATCATTTCCAGTCCAGAAATTTCTGAGCTTGAGCCTAAGACTTGTGTTCAGGCCCAGTCCATGTCATATATTCATTGCCAGTGGATCTTGAGAGTTGAGAGTTGTGAGCTGCGATCACTATCAAATTAACCTCTCACCAGTCATCACTCATCACCGCATAATAAAGTTGCTGCTTGGAGCTTATTCAAACCTATACTCTCACTAGTCACTTCTACATTAAATCAAATTTCAATGAATGATGTTAAAAATATTTACATTTTACATTTCACAACATTAAGACTAGTAATGTCAAAATGTCAATAGCTGGATGTCTCATCTTACCATTTGTTCTCGTATAACTGATGCACCATAGGTTATGCTATTGTTTGAACTGTGTAATGATTTTTGCATACATATATATGTATGCATGTAATTATTTTTTCATCTCTTTAAATGCCCCCACTAATTCAGGGGGCTTTTGTCAAAATCTGAAAATTCAGCAGGGTAATTGCCACCAGCCGGCCCAAAGTATAAGATATATAGTAATATGTAATTTATCAAAAAGTATATATATATATATATATATATATATATATATATATATATGTTATCTCCTTAAACTAATGCCCCACTAATTCCTTCCATGAGGAATAGAAGATTGGAAGACCAAGAGGTGGAGTAGAAACTGGAAAGTGGAAATCATATAATTTCTTAGCTTTCTCAAACAAATTAAAATGTTAGAAAAAATAATAGTTCTGTGTGTCACATTTGGCAATACTACTAGGCCCGAGCACAGCGCTATATCCCTGTCTGGGTCGTTCCTCTCTGAGAGTCTGACGACGAGTCAAGCTTCATTGCTACTAAAATATCAGAGAGAGGTTGTTATAACTTACAACGGTAACAACCGTTAATTGTCAAGCATCCCCTTTAATTTCTTCATTGTCAAGCATCCTCTTTCTTTTTCCCATGTAAAAAGACGAAGCACTCATGGATTTACTACTTTACAATGTTTTGTAATGGGAACTCTGTCTGTTTTGTAAGCGTGGTGGTGGCCGGCAGAGATTCGAGCTCGTTTTCCGTGCCTTTTCTTTTTTGTGCGTTTATCATTTGCTTTTGATTTTACAAACAATAATCAAACAACCTGTATTGTAGTTGTATATGGTCCATTTCAAAAGAAAGCAACCGGCAGTAGAAATCTTTCTTCAAGTCTGATCCTTCAAATCAAAACCTAGACTCAGATTTGGCCTAAAAAAATAGTCGTGCCATTTTTTATTTCCTTTGTTATAACTATTCTACAATTACAGTATCAAGTGCATGAGAAACAATAGAAAGAAAGAAAGAAAAAAGAAAATCGGATCCGAAGCCGATAATTACGGATCGTTTCCACCCAACAATCTCCACAGAACCTAGCTGTTGATCTGGTTGGGCTCCAAATTTCAATCCCGAAAGAGAAGTTATAGACATCAATCTTGTGTTTTCTTTTCTTTCTTTAAACACTCCTCTCCAACATCTCTTGATACCTCTTGAACGATTCTTGCTTCTGCATTTTCATCTGCCGATGAAACCTCTTTATAAACAAGTCGGCAACGTGGTCGATCTCGTCTTCAAGGCTGAAGTTCTCTCTGTCCTCCTTAGAGTTCCTCACCAGATCTATAACCGACCCACCCTGGTCGACGAAGTCATCATTCTCGTCGTCGAACAGCGAGTGGGTGAGGTCCGGGTACTTATCATCCTCGTCTTCTTCTTCTTCTTCTTCCCCGTCTACCTTCACCAATTCGGTGCAACTTGGGTTGGGGTGCACCTCATTGGCCCTGCTATTGAATTCAATGGTAGCCTGGCTCTGGTCGTCCATCTCGTCTTTGTCTTGTCTTTTATCTTGCTGTGCGGTCAGTGCGTGGAGTTTGTGAGAGATTGAAGCCAACAAAACCTTTTTGTTCTTCAAGAGCGAGAAGATTATAAGGCGAGTCTTCATGGCGCTTGTTTTGCTCTTGATTGCTAAGGACTTGGCCTTGACGATGGTGGTTATCACAGAGATGATCTGTTTTAGGAAAACAGAAGCTCGGTTCTTCATGTTTGGTTGTTGGAATTAGCTATTTCTGAGGAAGACCCACAAAAGAAAACCCGAACGAGAGAAGAAGGCTTGGAAAGATTTTGAAGAAGAGATTTTGCAGGATTAATTCCAAGTCCTTGAAGCTAGGAAGAAAATAACAGAGAGCTAGCTAATTGAGATTGTGATCAGAGAGAGGTTTTGAAGATGTCAATTATATGGAGAGATACAAAAGTAGTGGGTTTGCATGAACTGATGAACGAGAACAAGAGGTTACTCTGATGAGTTTATATGGACAAATTAAAGCTAGTCTTAGCTTCTGCTGCTTTTCCTCGTAAAGAGGGGAGAGAGAGAGTGGCTAATGGATGAGTAGGTGTTAAGAAAAGCTTGGAAAAGTTAAAGCAATAAAGAGACAAGAAGGAAAAGCATATGGAAGGGGATACGTGGCTCGAGGAGATTAAAGCGGGTGTGGTATGAGAGACAGGTGGCTGGCGAAAATTAGTGGGATGAAGAATCAAGGGAGTGTGAGGCCGCGGTTGTTTACAAGCTTTTTGAGGAGACAGAGAGAGAGAGAAGGCTGGTTGATTGCAATTTGCATACGGATATATAGACTGGGCCTCACCTCACTTTTGAAGAATAATTGGACTGACTGGTTGTGTGTGGTTGGCACCATATGCATCATGCATGGGAGAGCCGTTGAAGTAAAGATCTCCATCTCTTCTTTTCCTAACTCTTTTATTTTATTTATCAGCACTACTGACAATTTATAAACGTTGAAGTTGGAAATTACCTATACATTTGCACTTAATTAAACCTCCACGTACGACCAGAAAAATAGAATAAAGGGAAATTGTCTAAAGCTAATTATGAGTTTTCAGCATTTCTTTTAAATTCATCACAATTTTTTAAAATGTTTAAAATCCATCATCTTACTAACTTGATGTTAAACAGACTAGTGGGCGTTAATATATTATCATTTTAATTTTTATAGAAAAATATAAAATACATTAACGAATGTTAATATATTACCATTTTGGTATTTATACATTAAAAAAAAAGAAAAGTTCAAAAAAAATATTTGCAAACATAAAATACATAAAAACATAGAAATTACAAAAATATATAAAATATAGAAATTGAATAACAAAATCGGAAAATAAAAATTGTAGAAAAAACACCAAAAATTATAGAAAAACACAGAAATTGTAAAAAAATAACAAAATTACAGGAAAACTTATAGATTGTAGAAAATAGAAAAATGTAAAAAAAACAGAAATTATAAAAAAAAAATTGAAAATTATAACAAAACATTAAAAATGCAAAAGAAAATAAGAAAATTGAAAACTGAAGACCATTTTTCCTCTAACTCGCCATTCAAGGGTAATTTGGTCATGAAAATTGTTGTTTATGCTAACATGGACACCTCTCTTAAGAAGCATTAACGGTGCACTAACGGAATGTAAGTTTTGGAAAATAAAAACTTACTGACATGGTGAGTTTTAGACATTTTGAAAAGTTATTGTGAGTTTAAGAGAAAAGTTGAAAACTCATAGTGAGTTTTAAACAATTACCCTAAAATAAAATATGAAGTTGCGACGATATTAAATGACCACTTAGTAATGTAAATCAAATGAATTTCGTTTTAATAAAAGACAAGGAAAGAAAGAAGAAAGCTGACTAATTTGTATTATCATTTAACATAGAGTTTAACTTTTCATGAAAGAAGAAGAAGAAAAGAATTATGATTTCGGATTTCAGTTTTCAGATAGGGTTTTAACCTCCTCCCAAATTTCGAACTTCCAAAGTAAAGCAATTCTCCGATCTTCATTCAAATATGTATGTACAAACCTTTTCCAGTTTTTTTGTTTTGTTTTTTTTTTTTTTTTTTGGCAGAGTTTTGAATGGGAGAAAACAGTAATTAAGTAATCCTCTTTTTTTTTTGTCAGAATAGGCCGACCGTTTGGATCAAACGATCGAACCGTTGGAACCAATAATCGGATCCTTAACCGGTTCGATCACTGGTTCATTTTTAAAAATCATGGAAATTATATTTGAGAGAGGGAATGAATCATTTTTGAAGTTTATAATTTCTAAGAACAACGTTATATATGTTTATGTAATGGACTTAAATAATAACAACAAAATGACGATGTTGCTTCCTTGAGGGGAAACAACGTTAATTTCCGTAATTAATTAACAACGTACCTTCCCAATTAAGCAAGTTACAAATTTGTACTTTTGTGCCTAACTTGTTGAATTGCACCTTTGGCGCAATGCAGTAATCCACCTTAGTCCTTACTCATGAGCACAAGATGCAAATAATTAGAGAAGATGGAGAGATACATTTATATATATAAACAGGAAAGTTAATAAGGATTAATTTCTGCTGCTCTGAGTCTGAGGAAAGTGTCCACAGGAAAGTAATAGTAGTAGTAGTACATTTGTACCAGTTATAAACTGATTGGTGGAAGAAAGAAACATTGCGGAGACACACATGGAATTGCTTTTGCGATTCCACTCCCATATATAAGCCATAATGTTCACATTGATAATATTAGTGAAGAACACAGAAAATCTTAGCACCGGCAGAGATGGCCCCTGGTTTCCTCTTCGGACAAATGTAAATTATTCAATCAAAAGCAAATAGCATAAAGAGATAGGGGGGGGGG